CGCGGCCCTCGGCGGTGCCGCAAGTGAGTGGCCTGCGGGGCAGGGGAGGGATGGCGGCCGCCTTCCCCGCGCCTCCCCCTGCACTGGCACCGCTGCTCTCTCTTTCTCGCCTTCTTCCCTCTGCAGCGAGGCTGAACAACTGGCCCCCGTTGCCGTCTTTCTGCCCAGTGAAGCCTTGCTTCTACCAAGACATCCCCGTGGAGATCCCTGCTGACTTCCAGAAGACTGTTTCTACCATGTATTACCTCTGGATGGGTGAGTCCCTGGGGGAAATCTAAGGGCAGGTCCTGGGAGGAGGTAGAGGAACAAGTGTCCTGCGTGCGAGTGAACGCTGCTGGGCTGGAGAACTTGTGATTATCACACGGTGCCCAGGTCTGGGGGGCTGAGCTCTTGGTGTGGGGAGGGGGGAGCCTTGCTCGGGTTGCTTGACCGATGTCCTCTCTCTCAGCCAGCACCATTGCTCTCTTCCTGAACTTCTTGTCCTCGCTGGCCTGGTTCTGTGTGGAGCCCTCGTCCGGTTCTGGGTTCGGCCTCTCCATTCTCTGGGCTCTCCTCTACACGCCCTGCTCCTTTGTCTGCTGGTATAGGCCGATGTACAAAGCTTTCAGGTGTGTATCTGCTTGAGCTCCCAGGGCAGCGAAGCAGCGGGTGGGATGGCTGCAAGGCGGGTGCTTGAAGCTGGGGAGACTGGGCTGCTTGGGAGAACGGGCCCTTGCGCTGAGCGCGGCACCGATGGTGTCCCAGCCGCTTTTGTGGCCTTTGGGCCTGGGAGATGTGGTGATTCTGCACTGAGCTTCTGGCTGAGGAACAGATCTTGCTTTGGCTGGGGCTCTTTTAAGGAGGTCACAGGAACGTGTTTTCCTGTGGACCTTGCCGTTGGAGATCCTTGCACTGCCTTATGCCTCTTCCTCAGATTTGCCCTTGCTTTAAGACGCTTAACCAGTGGCTGCGCCTCTGGGGCCTGCGTGCTCTCTCTCGCTTTGAGGAATGTTTGAGAGTTGTTTTCTGAGGCCTAACCTCGTCTGTCTCTTTCTCCCAGGAGTGACAGTTCATTCAACTTCTTTGTCTTCTTCTTCGTCTTCTTTGCCCAGAACGTGATGTATGTGCTGCAGGCGATTGGCATACCAAACTGGGGATTCAGGTGTGCGTTGTGCTGACCCTGGGGAGTACCTGGTCAGCCGGGTACCCCAGAAAGGGAGGAGGCGGGTGGGGAAGAGGGAACCTGTGGGCAACCGTCTCTTGTTTTGCAGTGGCTGGATATTGAGCCTGATAGCGTTGCGGAAGAACACGGCCGTGGCTGTGATGATGATCCTGGTGTCCTTGTTCTTCACAGCAGTGGCTGTGTTGGGCATCATTATGCTGAAAAAGGTGAGTTTGGATCGAAGCTCTGGACCAGAGTGCCCCTTCAGGAGGATGAGGGTGGGTTTTGGCAGGTGCGGGGGCACAGCTCTGTTCACTGGGGGCCCGGAACGGGGCCGGTGCGCTGACCCCGAGCCTGCCGCTCTCTTCCAGATCCACTCTCTGTACCGCCGGACGGGCGCCAGCTTCCAGAAAGCACAGGAGGAGTTTGCCGCGGGGGTCTTCTCCAACCAGGCGGTGCGCACCGCAGCGGCCAACGCTGCCACAGGTGCCGCCACCAATGCCTTCCGGGTGCCCTAGCTGGGCGGTGGCCCCGGCTTCTCATTGCACGTGGGCTCTTTCTAAGGAAGAGGAAATCCAAGTTGCACTTTCATTGGATCCCCGTGTGTCTGCATCAGCTGTCAGAGGCCGCCTCATCCCAGCTTGGAAGTGCTGGTGCCTGAATCGTCTGCTGCTCTAACCCCTTCCCTCACGGATGGAGGCTGTTCCGGTTTGTGCTGGTCCCCTTCCCTCAGTGGACTGGGGAAGGAGCGGGATGGGAGGTGCCGTGACCAAGCCCTGTGCCTGTCATTGCCCTCCCTTCCAGCACCAGGAGCCTCCTCCAGACGTGTGACAGGGACTGAAGCGGCTGCTCACCTTCCCTGTGTTGGCCAGGGCTCCTCTGTTTCCCCACCTGGCGATGCCACTTGTGTGCCCTGGGGCACAAAGGGTTCCCCGTGTGTCCAGTCCCAGGGCGTGCAGGGGCTGGCTCTTCCCTGGAGGCTTTTGCCTGCCTTCCCTTTGATGCGGGACCTGATTCTCTGCCAAGAAAATCGTCACTGTCTTCCCCCCAGGGGCTTGCTCCGGTGGGGTGGGGCTGGGTCTGTCCCCAGGGTGCTGAGCTCGGAGGCAGCCCTCCTCCAGTCCCTTTCCCTGTCCTCTCCTTCTCTCCTTTGCTGGGCTGAGCCTGCTCCAGGTGCAGGGATAAGGAGAGTGGGGCCAGGACAGGCAGCAGTGGTGCACATGCTGCTGTTGGGGCTTCCTGCCTTTAGCCTGTGTGCCCAGCCACAGCTGTCCGGGACTGGCACGCGGTGGACCCTAAAGCCAGGCTGGGCACCAAGGAGGGCTCCTGGAACCTCCTTAGCTCCCTCCTTGCCTCCAGCTGAACAGCTTCTCCCTTCCTCTGCCTGCCCTGGGGCCAGTGATCCCTTGCTTCCACCCCAGCACTCTTCACCCAGAGCCTGCCCCTTCCCCAGGGGCCTTCGCCCTCCTTCCTTTTTGGGTGCTGAGCCGGTGCAGCACTGCCTAGTATGTGCCCTGTGTCCCTGCTAGCCCCTGGTGTCCCCCCTCCCGTGTGCCAGTGTCCTCGGGGCTCCCTGGGCCTCGTGTCACTGGGACGGGTCTCACGAGTTCTGCTTCGCCCCATCTCCTCTCCGATGCTCCTGGGTTTGTCCCTGCTGCTCCTGGGCTGGCGAGAGGGTTTGTGCCTTCATCTGTGGGGGCCAGCGCACACGCGGCAGGTCCACTGCGGCCATGCCCTGTCCTGCGGCGGGGGCTGGCGCTGGGTGACGGCGGTG